GGTCATGGTCCACAGTTTGAAAAAACTGGTCTACAGAGACTTTAACAAGCACTGCGGTTATAAAAAGGTTCCTATAGTATGGACATTAAGTACTATGAGAACAGCATTTTTTTACAAAAGATCCAGAGATATTCTTGAAAAAAACTAACTTTACTTTATGTAGTCTCTTTAAAAAGTGTCACACAGAAGATTAAACCTCGATGTAGAGTCTTTGTGCGTCAAGTCTTCCTTAGCTACTCCTGTTGTCCAGGAAGGTGCTCCCTGTTGGTCTGTCTGTACAAGGGTAGCTTTGTAGAGAATCACTGGGATGGAGAGCAGTGTTGCTGGGGTCTAATTAATCCCATGTTTCAGATGAGTCTTTAAGTTCCAGGTTATGGTCAGTTTCACCATTGAACTCTCTGTATTGATTGTGTGGCAGTATCTCTGGGATGAGCTGCTTCGTGGAAAATCCTTTCAAGGGTGGTGGTTTTACAGGGGCTTGATATATGCTATTCCAGCATTACTTCCCTACATGTTCAGCTGGCCTGTTAACAAGGATACCAGTTTCCAAGGGCAGGACAAGTGAAGTGTAGAGTTCCAGGGTGTATTTCTTGTTTGGTTTCATTTCTGACACTGATGTCTTGCACTGAATGAAATTCTACGAGGGAAGATGGAGGAGAAGCAGGTGGATTGATTGTCAGTGCTCAGAACATACCACATGTGGAAAGATAGAAATCTTTCCCCAGGTTAAATTATATATGAGAAAGGGATGTGGCCAGGCATTCTAATTCATTCTCACATAATGTGGCAGATTAGAAAGCAGTGGCCATATATGGATGTCACTATGTTAAGTTATTTTCCTGTTCTAACATGGGGACAGCTAGGGTTCCTGAGTTCACTTTCACCTGGAAATATTGCCAGGAACCATATTTAATACACAAATTAAGAGGCATTACTTCACAAAAGCTCATTGTTCCTTCCCTAAAGGGAAAGAATTGGCTAGCAATAGCTCTGTACTGTGGATCTGCATTGCTAGTTTCTTCACCTTTGTGTCAAAATTGTCAGCTGAGAAGAGGGTATTTGGCTCTATGTTTACAGAGCTGTTTCTTTGGCCTTTTCCTATTTGTTAGCTTGGGTGTTTTTTTTGTGTGTTTTTTTTTTTTTCCATGCATTCAACATTGAGTTTGCATGATTTGCCAGCTTCAGTGTTACTTGCTAATGATACAAAATGGGTAAAATCAGACAAGTCCATAATTTTGTGGGATTTACAGTCCAGTAGAAGTTAGATAATGAAGCAATCTTGCAAACTAATGTTTCTGATAATTTCTGTGAGAGAGAATGCATGGTGTTATGAGAGCATAAAATTAGGGGACTTGTACTACTACTCTGGGAAGTCAGGAAGCTGGATGGCTGAAGCAGTTAGCTCAGTGAGATGGTGAGAAGGTGGAGAGAGGGCGGGTAGAAGCCAGATAGTTTAAATTATATTAGGGATTCTCTTTAAGAGCAATAGGGAATCAACTGTTTTGAGCTGGAAGGGTTATTTTAGTATTAGTATTATTTTTAATCCTCATCCAAGGACATGCTTAGAGGAAGGGGGAGAGAGAGAGAGAGAGAGAGAGAAGAGAGAGAGAGATATCGACGTGAGAGAAACATCGATCAGTTGCCTTCCATACATGCCCCCACTGGGGACTGAACCTGCAACCCATGTGTGTGCCTAGGAATTGAACCGGCAACCTTTCGGTGCACAGAACGACACTCAACCAACTGAGCCACTCTGCTGGACAGGAAGGGTTATATTTTTATCAACAATTTAGATGACAGCACAAAAAGGTATGTTTGCCAGATTGAGGGGGAAAGCAAGCTGAGAGGCACAGCTAGTACGGTTGATGGCTGAGTCAACCTTTAACAAGACTGCAGTTATCTGGAAGGATGAGAGGGGGCTGAATTTCAGCAGTGATGAATATGAATGATCCTTTTGTTAGTGCAAACTCTCATATGACATGATTGGTACTTGTGGTTAATCAAGAAACGTTGGGTAAAATGGAAAAATATTTTAAAAGGTTATATATAAATACATACTTCGAACATACTACCTTTCACTTAAAATGGATAAATAATATTCACTTGCCAGTCTTTGGATATAGGCACAACACTCATTCTTCAAGGCTAGGTTCTTAAATGATGGTTTATTTTGCATAAACTGCATTAAAATTAAGTTTTGGATTCTTTAAAGTGGAGTGAGAACCAGACACATTTGAAGTAATCTGAGTACAAAATTCTTTTAGATTTTCATAATCCCCCCTCAAGCATTTTATAGTTGTTTCACCCACACCTAACTTGTCAGCGGTTCTTTTGAAGTATCTTACTTTTATCTAGTTCATTAAACTGCATTAAAATTAAGTTTTGGATTCTTTAAAGTGGAGTGAGAACCAGACACATTTGAAGTAATCTGAGTACAAAATTCTTTTAGATTTTCATAATCACCCCCCCCTCAAGCCTTTTATAGTTGTTTCACCCACACCTAACTTTTCAGCAGTTCTTTTGAAGTATCTTGCTTTTATCTAGTTCACCCAAAGTATTCAACCTCATTTTTCTCTTTTCTTTCACATTTACATTTCAGTGGTTATGTAATATTTAGCTAAATTATAATAAGAGTAACGTATGCAGCAGGCATAAACAGGTAGGGCAGTGAGTATCCGTGACTGATTTGAAACAGATGACTGAACCACATGGGAACAGAAGTACACTGTGAGCTAGTTATAGGCATTCAGTGTGTGGCGGTGTGTCTTACAGAGGGAGAAGGGAGCATCAGTCCTGGGAGATTGGAATTTAGGTTGGGTGCTGTGTATGTGGGACACACAAAAGCTCCAAACCTGTTGAAGACTTTCTCCTGAGTTTGTAAGTGGCTGCTCCATGGAAGATAAACACTTCATTATAAAGTTTTTTTTTACCTTCATTTCAATATTCTGAATAGATGAACTTTTTCACTTTTATACTTCAGGTTAATTTGTTAGGTTTGTGTTTTTCTCTCTTGGTTCACTTCTGACTTACTAAAATCTCAATCTGTAATTATTTTATTTGTAATGAGATGAGACACAAACATTTTGTGAACTTTTCCTATATTCCAGAATGTGTTCATGTGCTGATTTTATTACAATCCAGAGTAACTGATTTCCAGTATTTGTGAGGGATTATTTTTTTATTGACTTATGGTGAACATGGTCTCTGGCATAACACTTCCTGCTGACTTACTAAAATCTCAATCTGTAATTATTTTATTTATAATGAGGTGAGACACAAACATTTTGTGAACTTTTTCTGTATTCCAGAATGTGTTCATGGTGCTGATTTTATTACAGTCCAGAATAACTGATTTCCAGTATTTGTGAGGGATTTTTTTTATTGACTTATGGTGAACATGGTCTCTGACATAACACTTTGTACGTTTGAATCGGTTCTGCCACTTCTTATCCAAGCCTTTGGGCCAGTTCCTTGAGTATACTGAAGCACAACATTGGCTGTTCTGAGGATTACATGGATCTATACATGGAATATGTTTGTACCGAGCCTGGCATAGACAAGTCCTTAGTAAGTGACGGTTTTCCTGCTTCTCAGGAGTATTACATTCACTGATCCATTCTAGATCATGTGTCTGTCCTAAATACTTTCCGAAGCGCTGAACTGCATAACATCCAGCGGACAAGAGCCCTTCCTTTAAAGCTCTCTTATTCTAATGGGTGGATTGGAGCAGAATTATGTGCTCAATACTGGAGGGGTGTGGGCAGAGCGAGGAAGCACTGGTATGGGTCACAACTCGGGCTCCAGAGCGGTCTCATTAAAAGGTTTAACTTCAAAAGCAGGATTGGGCTTAACCATCCCAGGAGATGTTTGCATTTTTAAAAGGGAAGAGCATTTATTATACCTTATAGGGATGAATTGGGGACCTACCCCTTCCCTCTCAGGGTGTTTTTGCCTGCCCTTCCTCCTTCCTCCTCCCACCTCTTCCTGCCCTCTCCCCGCTTCTCTAAACAAATGCAGATACCTCTCTGCCCAAGAGGCACAGTGCCCATAGGGCCCCATTTCCTCACCTAGAGGAGTGGCACCACACAAAGAGATGTGCCCCGCTGAGCCCTTACTTAGGGAAAATGTGGTGAGGTTGACCTAGTAAACTGTAAATTACTGCCCAGAGATGTAGAGGGGCCTCTTTAGTATTGTTTGCAATTTAAGATATTTTAATGTTTGTTTTAAAACCTAAAGATCTCTTTTGTTTATATAATGTCAGTTTATATTGCTTTAGACTTTTAAAATGAGTGTAGAGGAGTACTTGAGGCACTTGATTCGTGTGTGTGTGTGTGTGTGTGTGTGTGTGTGTGTGTGTGTGTGTGAGATTCTCATTAAGAACTGTTTTTATTCATTTACATTAGTAGCAAAACCTAGAGGTTTTAGCTGCAGTATTGCTTGCAATTTTAGATATTTTAATGTTTGTTTTTAAACCTGAAGATCTCTTTTGTTTATATAATGTCAGTTTATATTGCTTTAGACTTTTAAAATGAGTATAGAGGAGTACTTGAGGCACTTGATTTGTGTGTGTGTGTGTGTATGTATGTATGTATGTATGTATATATGAGATTCTCATTAAAAACTGTTTTTATTCATTTACATCAGTAGCAAAACCTAGAGGTTTTAGCTGAGGTATAAAATGTCCTAGTTGTCCCAGAATTGGATTGTGGTTAATTGACCATAATAACAGCTAGTTTCCTAGAGCTAAAAATATTCAGGAGAGAATAACAGTAACAGTGAAAGCATAACTTTGTCAGCAGTGGTTAGATATGTAAATACTGAGTGTTAGACTTAGAAACATGTTTGGCATAAAATTTAAGAAATCTATCTGAGAACTATTTGAAACAGTACTAGGGATACTTTTTCATTCAAAGCTTGCTTTTTGTGCATTGTAACTTTCAACTTCCAATAACTTACCGTTCTGCCTATGTAGCATTCTAATTGTTGTTGTTTTTCTTCAGCATATGGAAAAGTATTTCTAGTTCGTAAAATAAGTGGTCATGATGCTGGAAAGCTGTATGCCATGAAGGTTTTGAAAAAGGCAACAATAGTTCAAAAGGCCAAAACCACAGAGCACACGCGGACGGAGCGACAGGTCCTGGAGCACATCAGGCAGTCGCCGTTTTTGGTGACGTTGCACTATGCCTTCCAGACAGAAACCAAACTTCATCTCATTTTAGGTAAGTGTCCTTTGTCATCAGACTTTTTACAGAAACACTTTATTGTCGGGGAGGAAAATCTTGTGTTGTTATGAGTCACAGGGTAGCATATTTCGAACTTAGAAGAAACAAGTATTTTAACTTTCATTTTTCTCTTTGTGGTAGCATTTCCGTGAACATCCTGAGTTGCTCTGGATTTGGGACCTCCCAGCCTGCAGGAATGTTACTTCCGTTTCACACTCCTTTACTAATCTTAGGAAACACTTGAGCCATCTGCCTCCCTGGGCAGTGAGCTGTGAAGCGGGCCACAGTGTCTGCTTCAGGAGTTCTCAGGGATGTACTGGTTTGGACTGATATTCATGGAAATCAGTAATTGGGAAAAAGAAAAAAGGAAGAAAAGGAGATACCCAGTCACCCCTTTGATCACTCCCATTTCCATCCACAGGCACTTTCTGAATCCTTGCCTTTCCCAAACAGGCCTGGAGCGTTGTACATGAACTTTGGAATGTCCTCTGCACATACTGCTAGACTGCTGTGCAGGAGTCGCGCCCTATTCTGTTCCTGCTAGAAGTAAAGGGTGGTTCTTCTAGTGCCACACTCTGTCATCGCTGACTATTTCATCCGATACAGTTTCAGTCCGTTCTTGTGATAACTTGCATTTGTGTATTTTGATCCTCTATTTTCTAACTAATCTGACGATGAGTTGAGACAGAATTCACACCATGCTCTGTAAGCATTAGCTGTTCTTGATGCCTATGGTGTGCCAGCACTACGCCAGGTATTATCCATAGCATTACTAACCCTCACAACAACACTGCCCAAAACCCCTCATTCATGCTGTGGAAGGTTCTGGAAGCTGCATTTTTTGATGTTACATATGTTGTGTAAGCTTGAGAATGAAGACTGAAACTCAGGTCTGGTTCATACAAACAGTGCCGTCTGTAGTACAAACAGGTTTTTAAATATATATTTGGCAATTTTATTGAATGCTTTCATTTTGGAAATTATAGTTTTATTAATGATGCCTTAAGTTGCATTTATTCACTTTTTGATTCATGAAATTACACTTCAGGTTCATTTTGCAATGCTTTCCATCGACTTACAATCTTGAGTCTTTTTAAAAAAAAATATATGTTTTTATTGATTTCAGAGAGGGAGAGGGAGAGAGAGATAGAAACATTAGTGATGAGAGAGAATCATTGATCAGTTGCCTCCTGAACGCCCCCCCCCACTTGGATTGAGCCCGCAACCCCAGCATGTGCCCTTGACTGGAATTGAACCTAGGACCCTTCAGTCCGCAGGCTGATGCTGTATTCACTGAGCCAAATCAGCTAGGGCAATCCTGAGACTTTTATACATATACTAGAAGCCCGGTGCATGGATTCATGCATGGGTAAAACCTGCTCGATCTCTGCAGGCCAGGCCAAGGGATCCCACCCGGTTTCAGCCTGATCCCCGCAGGCCAGGCCAACTGACCCCACCGGTACACAAATCTGTGCACTAGGCCTCTAGTATGCATATAAGATCTTTGGTTAATCTCTTCCCGCCCTCCCCCCTTCCCTCTGAGATTCATCAGTCTGTTCCATGTTTCCATGCCTGTGCGTTGAGCATCTGCCCCCTGGTGGTCATTATGCATCATAGCTACTGGTCGAACGGTTGGATGGTTGCTTAGGCTTTTATATAGATAGACTAGAGGCCCAGTGCACAAATTTGTGCATGGGTGGGCCTGGCCAGGGGGAGGGGCCGTGGGTGGTTGGCGGCCGACCAGGGGCAGGCTAGCAGGGTGGGGGACAATCAGGCTAGTTGACTGCTGCAGTGCGCATCATAGCCACTGGTCTTTCTGGCCATTCTGCTGTTGCAGTCACTGGGCTTTTATAGGCTGCTGTCTCTCCTGTCCTGTCCAAGTCCCCACTCACTGCCTTTGCCTATTGTTCCAGCAAGTAAATATCTTGTGGCCCTTCATTTTGCATCCTGAGTGTATCTGCTCAGCTATGTGTTTCACTGATTTTTAAATGTTTTCCTTCTGAATGTTTAGCCCGTAGGGGACAGACCATTTTAATACAATGGTTTCAAACATTTTTAGCAGCAGAAACCTCTCAATTGAGAGCACAAACATTCAAATGGAAAACAAATAGGATTGAGTGCTCTGCTCGGATCTGAGCTCAAGGGCACCAAGCCCTGCCAGTTTATTTTTGTTCCTCACCCTCCCAGAATTTCCCAGGAAGCCTCGGGAGTCCATGAGGGCTGGTTCAGAAATTATTACCCTGTTCAGTCTTCTCCCTTTATAATAAACCAACTCATAAAAGTTAAACCCCAACTCCTCGACTCGACCACCACACCATGGTTTCTCTCTCTGTCTTCTCTGTTCTCTTACCATAACCACTCAGTTTTTTGTTTGTTTATTGAAAATAGTGAGTGTAGTTTTTATAAATAATGCTTTTAATTTAAAAGTAGATGAATGAAATATTTTGTATTTGATTAAAAAACAATAGTCCTTAATAATGTTGCTTTGTAGTTGTTGGTTCTCCAGTGGTTTTGTTCTTTGCCAGTGGCCCATAAATAAATACAAAACAAAACAAGAAAACCCATTTCTGTGCCAGCTCAAGAGTAGAATGGGACTAGACATGTTCCATTGTAAGTGAGGCAGCGCATCCAGAAAGTGTGCCCCTCCCCCTATCCACATAGATTGTTTAATGTAATTTCTTTCCTTTATTAAATTTACTGGGGTGACACTGGTTAATCAAGTTTCATATAATTTCTCTTTGTGTATGTTTATAGTTGTTATTTTACTTTAAAGGCAAAAATGGCCAGACATCTAGAGTAGGGCTTTATTATACACTATTTTTGTGGTTTTCTGTTGGCTGTGCTTAGAAGACACACTAGGTCACTTTTCCAAGTACATTAGGTAGTCTGCTAGGGCTGCCATAACAAAATATCACAGGTGGGTGGCTAAACAGCAGAAATTTATTTCCTCACAGTCTGGCGGCTGGAAGTCCAAGAGCGAGGTGCGGCAGGGCTGGTTTCTTTTGAGGACCACAAGGAAAGGGTCTGTTCCAGGGTTTTCTCTGTGACTCGCGGATGGCCACCTCTTGCTGCCTTTTCACATGGTGGGACTTCGGTGCACTCAGACCCCTAGTGTTGCTTTTGCATTCAGAGTTCCTCTTATGAGGACACCAGTCAGGTGGGATCAGGGCCTTCTCTAAGGGCCTCATTTTAATAACTTAATTACCTCTTTGAAGGCCTTGTCTCTAAATACAGTCACACTCTGAGGTCCTGGGGGTTAGGGCTTCAATGTATGAATTTTGGGGACAGGGGGACACAGTTCAGCCTGTAACTGTCTCTAAAGGTTTATTGATTAACTGACCTTATTCAGGTTTGTGTACTATTAGAGGTTAATAGCAAGAATTTAGATACTGAGCTCTTCAGGGACCCAGCTGACCTTTTTGTCTGATGAATAAACAAACTCTATAGACCTTTGTAACAAATACAATATTTAAAAAATTATTTTATGTCTACAAAGGCATCTATATGCATATAAAAGATATTAAAAAAAATAAGAAAAAACTATGTTCACTACCCAGAATTTACCTTGTTATATTTCCCTCTGTTATTAATTAGTATATGTCTATCTAGCTCTTTTTGCGTGTGTGTGTCTGCATGTATGAATATTTTACCAAAATTTATAACCAGATGTTGTTTTCAGTTAATGATGTCTACTTTTTCTGGTTAGTATATTTTAATTTCATAATACCCAATGGTGCAACTTATTTATTGCTGGATAACAAACCACTCTTAAATTTAGTTGTCCAAACAATGAGTTATTTTCTCATAATTCTGTGGCTCTGCTGGACAGATCTCTGCTGGTGTAGCCTGGACTCACCCATGTGGTAGTCAGCTGGAGAGTTGGCTGGGATTGAAGGGCCAAGATGGTTCTACTCTCGTGTCTGACAGTTGGTGCTGGCTGTTGGCTGGGGTGTCTCTTTCCTCCACGTGGCCTCTCAGCCTCCAGTGCAGCAGACCAGCTTCTCCTTAGCATGGCAGTCTCTGGGCAGCTCATGAAGACTGCCCACAGGCCAAGGCGGAGGCTGCGAGTCCTCCTGGGGAGCCCTGGAACTCATCCAGCCTCACTTCTAACACAAGGCCAGCCGAGATTTAATGGGTGAAGAAATAGACTTCATTTCTTTTTCCTTCTTCAAAAAAGATTTTTAAAAACTGAGGAATCATTGACAAACATCATTATATTAGTTTCAAGTGTAAAACATAATGATTCGATATTTGAATATATTGAAAAATAAGTCTAGTTAATATCTGTTACCATACAGTTTAGTATTTTCTTGTTGCTGTTGTGATGAGAACTTTGAGGATTTAGTCTTAACTTTCATATTTGCACTACAGTATTTTTAACTATAGTCACTGTATACGTTACATCCCCATGACTTATCTATTTTGTAGCTGGAAGTTTGTACCTTTTGGCTCTTTCACCCATTTGCCTCCTCCCCTCACTTCTGACAACCACCAGTCTATTCTCTGTATCTATGAGCTTGTTGGTCTTTTAAAGATTTCACACATAAGTGAGATCATCTGGTATTTGTCTTTTCTGTCTGACTTATTTCACTTGGCATAGTGCCCTCAGGGTCCACCTATGTTGTCGCAAGTGGCAAGATTTCATTCTTTTTAGGACTGATCAATATTCCCTTGTATGTATGTACCACATTTTCTTTATCCATTCATTCGTCAGTGGGCACTTAGGTTGTTTCTGAGCCGGTCCACAGCATGCTGTTTGGTGTGGTTGGGTTTTATTTGTTTCTAAGTTTTGCTGAAAGTGTAGATCATGGAGGTTTACAGTCATTCTTGCTGTTCTCTGAGATACTTTGGGAGCAGATGTGGAGATTCAGTTCTCTCTCGGTTGCTGTCCTGCTCCTACGTGGATTCACGGCCCACTAGATGTTTGACCAGGCTTGTTTCTTCACGATAAAATTGGCCTGATTGGCACAGGCTTCTCAAATTGATAAGATTGTGAT